CATAAAATACTCATTTTCTTATAGTGAATGTTGCATAAATTACATTGGTCCATCTAGTTTTCATTTAATTCATGATATATATTAAAAGAAGTCATAGCATAAAATTTCCACTTGGCCTCAATTATACTCTTCAAATCAATTTTAATGGTTGCTAATCATTATAAGACATTAAGAACCATAATATATATTTTTTATGAAATAATAAGTCTTAAAAGTATAAAAATTATGAAATTCTATATTAAATTAATTAAACTACATTGTAACATTAGATGACTAAAATAGTTTATAAAGACAGAAAAGTGTATATTTTTTATATTTTTATCAATTAGTTCATTAAACTTTTTTAAATATATATATTTTTAACTCTTAAATTTATAATATATGTACATTTTTAGTCTCTAAACTTATAAGTTCAAGTCCAAAAACTATATAAAAGCTTAAAGTTAAGAAATTAAAATCAAAATTTAACTAAAATAAAAAATTCAATTCTTCTGGTCGACTAGGCCTACCCACGCGATGATCAGTTTCTTGGGCTAGAAACCATTCGCCACCCAACTAGGCTTCAATTGCTAATCGAAACCATTGTCCAACCCATGGAAGCTCGTTTGCCACCAAACTGACTGCTGCAATTTCAGGTAGACTCAAATAAACTACTAGTTACAGTGAATAGGTCCCACTACTATCCAAAAGGATAAGAATCAAGACGATAGCACTTATATAACATCAAGTGATCCATTATGTATTCAATGAGATTCGATAATAAGAGTTAGAATTAAAAAGATTCAAAAAGTAATAAATCGACTTATTGAGGAAAGTTGAGTTAAGAGCAATCCACAACAAGTGAATCGAAACTTGGAAGATCGTTGAAGCTTAGAAAATGTCATTCAGGTTCAAGAGCAACTTACTTGCGGTTGTTTGGATCAAATTGCATTGTTTTGGTAAAAAAATCCTCAATTTTACTACAATTTGTTATAAAATGATGTTTTACATTATTTTAAATACTTGTGCATTTTTTGAGTTATTTGGGCTAAACATTGTTTTAATTTAAAGCTAATCCTTCTTTTATTAGGGGTTGTGCATATCCAATTCTTCTTTTAATAGGATGTGCATATAACTTATTAGTTTTCTATTTTGATTTAAACTAATTTAGTTATTTAAAGGCTTGTAATCCTAGTTGAGAAACGATTATTCATTCTGAGATTAATTGAAAAACTTTTCTCTTGATTCATTAATGAACCTATAGAAGTTATCAAAATTGTTTTTGTAGCATTATAATCTGATTTATCACTCCTATTCTTAATTATTTTAAGTATGGCATCAAAATACTTCTTTATACCTCTAGTTCGTGTTTTATTATAAATAATGGGTCAAAATTTATCTTCAATAAATCTTATTTAACTTTCCTTAAAGGTTCAAATTTTTTATTTTACACGTGAGTTTTGTTTTTTTTTTTTTGTTATTAATCTTCTGATATCTAGTAAACACATTAAGTTATGACTAATTCAGAATTGAACCACATTGGATCCCATAAGAGGAGGCTTTTCCGGCACTTGTTCTTCGTTCACAACACTCCAACTTGAAATCTTATTTAAAGAAAATCGAATTCTTTCCATTCAAACCAACAAATCGTTGATACATGTGGGTTTCATTATGGTCTTCATTTGAATTTTCTTATTTTACACGTGAGTTTCGCTACAGTCTTTGGAGTTGGCATCACAAAAGCACTGGATGGTACTTTTCCCCAGCTACATATATACATAGAACAACTTAAAGTAACCAACACAAAACCCAATCAAAAAACTCTTTCCTCTGTCTCTTCCTCTTCCCTTTCTGACTCACAATCGTTGGTGTCCCTCATCCTTTACTTCTAAATGAAAGCTTCCCTTATGTTCTCATCAAAGAAGTGTATTCCAGTTCTTTGACATTTCTATTTTCAAACTCACTATAATTTCTTCACTTTTTTTCTCCTTCTAATTTCTTATTAATTCAATTCAATCTTCTTCTAAACCTTCATATCTCTTTATGTGCAGTTTAATTTTTTAAATTAATTTTTTATGTGGTTTTAGATTTTCACATATCACTTACAAAACAATTTCTTTTCCTAATAAATCTTGTGTATTTTGTTGTTATGCTTCATGGACTCTCTAAGCTCAACTAGCTGTTCCCCGAAGTCCATTTTTATCCAGGGCCGTTGGGCTCCTTGCGTCGACATCCTCCAACATTATTGGCCCTAGCCTTCTCCTAGGACCATGATAGATAAAACCCCTCCATTCAACTGTTCTTTCACTTTCTTTTATCGGGCGGGTTTCGTGTTTAGGCTTGGGCACTGATCGGATATTACCTACAAAAGCCGATTGGTTGGGCTCCTTCAGTTCCGTTCACGGGTGTAGACGGGCTGAGATCCCAATAATAACTGATAGGCAAAAACCACTCTTAAGCCCCTAGACTTTCTCTATTTTCTCAAACAAGCCCTCAAAGAAAAAAGTGGCATGCATGCCCTTAAACGTCTAGATTTGAGTAAATTAGCTCTTGTATTAACAGCAAAATCATGTGTGGTCCTGTAAGTTAAACAATTCTTTGTTTTTTGGCTTGTGTAGTAATTTCTTTATGTGACTGCACGTGATTCCACTCTTAATACCAGGGTTAATTTGCACAAATCCAAACATTTAAAGGTTTGCATGCCACTTTTTTTTCTTTGAGGGCTTATATAAGAAAATGGGAAAAGTCTAGGGGCATAATATTGGGGCAATTTCCTTGTGGGGACCCTTGTTGTGGAGCATGGTAGGCTAGCAGAAATATTTCTCCTCGCAAGGTGGGGATGTGGGAAAAGTTTCATATTGTTATTGTTTACAGTTAGATTGTGTCCCAAGAGCAATGTGATTAGTTCAAATTAAGAGATTGTGAATGCAAATTTTTATGTCCTTCTCTATGATGTTTGTTTAGTTTTTTGCTACTAATAGACATTGATAATAGGATTGAGAAAGTTCAGAAAGTAGTTATTTGTGCTAATAGGATTCTTAAAGTCCTTAGTCAATGTATTATTGATATTGGACATCAATAATGTAGTGAGACTAAACATGCATGTTTTGATTAGAAAAACATGACATATCTAGTCATGGATTTGTTGATATCTAAATTTGAAAAATATATGTTGATCTCAAAGGTCGATATTAATTTTTTAAAAATAAAATAGAAAACCCTTTGAACGATGTCGTTTGGGGAAAAAAAAAGAAGACACCCCAAGTCAAAAGCTAGGGTTCTTGTATCTTTGTATCTTTGTAGCCACTCACCTACCATCGCGATTTCCTGCGATTCCGAACAACTTAGTAAGGGAAGTAATTTCAGATGGTGTGAGGGAGGTGTTTTCGATTCTTGTAGCCGCTCACCTAACACATGATTTCCTGCGATTCCAGACAAATCAGTAAGGGAAGTGATTTCAGTTGGTGTGATTCGATTCTTGTAGCTGCTCACCTAACACACGATTTCTTGCGATTCCAGACAAATCAATAAGGGAAGTGATTTCAGTTGGTGTGAGGGAGGTGTTTTTGATTCAAGTTCATCAAGTAAATTGGTATGCTATTTATTTTCTTGTTATTTTTCAATTTTAGGGTTTTACCTTCTATTCTCAAAATTCTTCTATGCTTTGTCTTCCTGTCGTTAACCTCGCACTTAGTCACAGGCCATTTTTTGATGCTCTAGGGGTGTCACAGCTAGAAAATTAGTGATGAAAATTATTTTGGTTGGTGCTATAGAAGTGATTTTGAATCAAGTTCATCAAGCAAATCGATATGCTATTTATTTTCTTGTTATTTTTTAGACTTCATCATTTTATGTCACACCCCAAATCTAAGAGCAGAATAGACATCATACACTTGTGCGTGAAACCCACAATTATGCAAGGCTTAGAATCAATTAATTTGTTATAAAAAATTATAATATAACTAGTTTTTTGAGCTCGTGCATTGCATAACACATTTTTTTAAAAAAAAATTTGTTTACATTTTATGATTACTTTTAACATGAATGAATTTAATATGTTAAAAGTCTTATAGTATATTTGCCATATTATAACTTAGGAAGATGCTAGAAAAATTTATGGACAAACCAAAATCTTATTCAGATTTCTTTAAAAAAAAATAAAAAATAAAAAATCAATGTTTTTCAAAAAAAAGAAAAAAAGAAAAAAAAAAAAAAAAGAGAGGAGAAAACTCTTCTCCCAAACTTAGCATGCCACCCATCCCTTGGAATCTTGGTACCTTATGCCTCCTTGGAAGAACTTTGACCAAATACATTGATGAAAACTAATCAACTTCATGATGCAAACAAATCTTCAAGTTTAACGTATCTTCTTAAAGAATTCACATTAAGAATGCCATGATCTAGCGCACTGTAACTCGAAATATACATATTTATGAAAAGCTAATACTTATCAACCATAAAGTTGCATAAGACTTTGTGCAACTTTACATATTTTAGAAGAAGTATATTTTTGATATACTTCGTGTGGATTAAATAAGAAAATTTAGATGAAAGACATAGAATTCAAATATAGGTGAAAAGGGTATATATGCACCTCCAATTTCAATGATTGTTGAAATGAAATCCTGTATATTTTTCTAAAATACACTACAACCAAATGCATCTATACTGACGGAAGTTTTTCGTCTGTATACACCCTTTTTTCGTCAGTATAGACCCCTGGGACTATTCCAACGGAAGTCCTTTCAATCGGTGCAAACCTCGTCAGTATAGGGTGTATACCAACGATAAATCCGTATGTATAGACCCTGAGATCTATTCCGATGGAAAATTCGTCCGTTGGTATAGACCCTAGAAAATTTTAAGAAATTTTGCCGTGGGTATAGACCTAACCTATACAGATGGATAATTCCGTTGGTATAGATCCTCGAAAATTTTAAAAAATTGTGCCGTGGGTATAGACTTTAACCTTTATAGATGGATAAAACCGTTAGTATAGATCTTTTTTTTTTTTTTTTACAATTGATAATTCACTTTTATTTAATAATTTTCTCTTAAACTTATTATTAATACCATTTTCCTGAGCTAGAGAATGATTGTTCTGAAAATCAAAATGCAAGTAGAACTTCCAAAAGACCAAAACCAAATACATTAACCCTGCACAAACAAGAAAGAAAAAAACACTACTTTGAAATTTCCTAACCATTTGCACGAATCAATCCCTTCAAAGCACACAATTGCTCAAACTAAGCT